GATAATCAACTCAGCTTATTCCTACTACAACATCGTCAGTGCAACAGGTTCATAAGACATATATTATCTGAAGAAAAAAAATTCAACATGTAGCAAAATAAATTCAGTGAATAAAGTCTGTTTTTTTTTTCTTTTCCCAATCAGAGTGATTCTTTTCTGTGAATTCAATCTCGAAATTCATAAGGTTTTCCGACAGATTTAGAGGGTGAAAACGATGTCCGATGCCCTAACAACCAATTTATGTATGAGTCTTCCAGTCTACAGAATGACTAACTCCAAATTCATCATTTTTGAGTAATTTCATTTTAATGATATTTCTATTTGGAAAATTTATATTGATTGCATATTGAAATATAGAACTGTGAATAAAAGTATAAATTTTCCCATTAGAAATTTTCCCATAAATTTTCACCTAAAATTAATAATCAAAAATGTTGGAATTGGAATTAGTCATTCTGTCAACTGAGAGTCTCACATTACGTCGAACTGATTGACACTAGATTTCTCAACGGATTTCCCTCCCATTTGCATCACGACTACAAGTTATGCTAACGAGCAAGGCATATTTTCTTCCTGGAATTTGCACCACACAATCTGGTATAAAAATCTGCACGAACAAAAGTTTTTTTAAGTTTAAATTTTTGAAATAAAAAATTTCTTTATTATAATTGGATAATTTCCTTTAAGAATAAAATTAAAATAACACTACTTAGTATCTAGAACAGTGTGGCTGCATTAATAAAAAAAAATATTAATACAGTATTTAGCTTACTTTAGAATTTTGCTTTTTTATTACACTTAAATATCTAACATTCACTTCGGCGTCATAAACTATTTTTTAAAATTTATTTATTTAATAAAATTTACAACTGTATAAACAATACAAAATGCCCGAATTGATGGATTTGAATCGGCGTTGCTAATCGGTCATTTTCTTCTCTACCTCATCTTTTCGGCTACACAGAGTTTTTTCCAAGACAGAGGAGAGGGTGAGGGATTATTTCCAGAGTTAAATGTCCTCCTACCAGGAATCGAACTCTTAATCTTCAGGTTGTCAGGTAACACGCAGTAGTCCACTCAGCCAAGCCACCCCACATCCGTCCGACATCCCTTTTTTTTGTCTTTCTCATTCTTGCCATATCGGATATACGGAGTTTTAACACCGACTAGAGAAGAGGGTGAAAGATTAATGGCAGAATTAAAAGCCTCTCTTCCGCTACACCAAGACGCAAACTCGTATTTATTTGAGCATGTTATCTGTATACAAGATCGCCGGACTACGTGTGTTCTGCACACGCTTTACCCCGCTCGGCCACTACGGAGATTCGGAATCAAAGTGAGAGGTCAAGTTAGAGAGCATAATTACTCCCAAAAAAGCTTGAAAAAATGGTACAATGCAAACCTAATTTTATATTCAAAGTACTCAAAACGTGCGCAATTTTATGGTGGATTATGTGTATGTTTATTTGAAAGATATGACATATATTCAAATCAAAAGTCAGGAAATCGGACTACTTGATTTCCTTGATGGTGCAGAAATATGATGGAGTTTTGTACTTTTTACAAGCTCTAATGAAAAATCAATTTCTTTTTAATTTTCTAATTCGAAAACATAAAATCTATAGAAGCAGTCGAGATGTTATTTTAAGAAGTATGTAAGTTAAGATGTTTTTTAACAAAAAAAATCTTAATGATCCAGTCTATGTTTTAATTTTTCTCAAAAATTAAGCACACAAGTATTTGATATATAACTATTTGGAAATAATTTTGTTTACTTTTAACAATCAGAGGCTTCTCAACCACTGAGGGTTATCATGCAACCGCTTAACACAATCTTTATTACACAATGAAAAATTCAACAATAATGTGATGAAAGTAGGAAAGTTTAAACATTGAAATTTTCTAAAAGAAAAAGTACAAAAAAAAAAAATTAATTTTGTTAAAGAATTTTTTGAATAAACAAAAATAGTTCTTTGCCATCTTCGTATTGTTTTTTAAAATTTAATTAATATTCCTATGTACCCATTTACTTGATGTATTTATACTAATACAGTTGTAAATATCATAATAAAAGTTATAAAAAAAAGAAAATTTCATTAATGTTCTCCAACTCTACTTCATTACGAGACGTTTCATAGGAGGTATAACACTCAGTCTTAGGCACCAACTACTAGCGACTCCCAAGGCTTGAGTCCCTCAATGCTGCTGTGGTGGGGGCTGAGCCCTTCTAAGAAATTGCTATATTATGAACTTTATGAACATATCGATCATCGAACATTACAATTCCGTTACAAAGGATATCTATATACTATATACGGTATCTATATACTATCGGGTACAGTAGAATTTATTTAACGGTGTCCTATTTTGGATTCCTAAACTCACCTAAACTGTAAAAGAAATCATTTATTAAAATACTGTACTGTTTTAGTTTAAAGTATTTGGTTTGACAACACTTCTTTGTCATCAGGAAGGGCTTGAAACAACTCAATACTTGTCTGAAATGGTAATTTTTCATATAGGTATTACGTACTTCATATAAGCTTAAAGGATATATTCCAAACAATATCATAATTGGATATTGGTCCTACATAAATATGTTTTTCAACTCAAATTTTCAAAAAGATTTAAAGAAAAGAGGAATACCATTGGCAGAAAGAATGTCTCTTACTATAAATAAATTAAAACAAATACAATTAAATGAAATAGAAAAGGAAATACTCGTTGGATTTATATATAACCAAAATTAAATCTCCAACTCACCAAATTCACCAAAGATAGTACATTACCTGCAGATTATAAAGAAAAGTTCCACAAAATAATCATCAGATTACCTGAAGATCTTCTAATATTCACCGACAGATCTAAATCAGACACATCTACTGCATCAGCATTTGTAACCTCTGATACTGCCTACAAATATAAACTACATTATATTTGTAGTGTTTACACAGCAGAGATTAACGCCGTAGCAAGTCTCCGATGTGTCATGAAGAAGCCAGTTGCAAATGTGTTGTGGTATCGGATTCCCTAAGTACTCTGAGAGCCATGAATAACATGTATCCAGACCATCCAGGGATACACTGCATTCTAATTCTTATAAAAATGCTTCATGGAGTTGGAACAACGGCACATTTTATCTGGTCGCCTGGCCATATAGTCATTACAGGAAACGAAATGGCTGATAGAGCAGCAAAAGAAGCTCTTACCCTTCAAAGCCGCAGTAATGCTTTTTTGACAGCATCTGAACTTGCACGACCTCTGAGAGAAACCATATCTCAAGAATGGCAAAGACGTTGGGACAACAGCGCACCTAGCAAATTAAAGACAATAAAGAAAGAGGTACAACCGTGGAGCAGTTCCAAACGCAGCAGCCGTAGAAAAGAAGTCCTCAAGCGGCTGAGGATCGGACACACCAGACCGACACACCTCCACCTCATAACAAAAGATCGTATCCCCAGATGTCAAAAGTGTGACCAGTCATTAACTATAAAAAATGTTTTGGAAGAGTCCCATTTTTTCATCGCAAGATTAAAAGATCTCGGAATACCCCAGAATATATCAGCATCCCTCGGAAATCAAGAAGATATCGTTACCAAAGTTATCAAGTTCCTAGATAATGAAAGACTTATAAAACATATATGAAAAGTTCATTTATATGTTAATTGAATTCATTTATTGCTATTTTTTTAAAAAGTTTATTTATTCTAAAGTTGTTCATATTACATATAGCTGTCAATTATTATCTTTATTTATTTATTTTATACTATTCATTTTTAATTTTTATCCTTTTTTTAATTTTTATTCTTTGTACCAACTACCTGAACAGTATAAAAGTAGTGTTATTTAGTTGATGGGGCGCTGATGACCTGGATTTGCGTCTAGACATTGAAAAAAAACAATATCATCTACCTCGTGATCTTATAGTTCGCTCCTCCCTCCCGTCCAATAATTTTCATAAGTCGGCGCTTATGCACTCAGTCAAGATTAGGCTTACTGTTAAATTGACCCCGCAGCAGAGACACTAAAGCTATGTCCCGATTGTCATTAAATTTGGATCAATAATAATTAATTGTGTGATTTTCGCAAAGTTTACATATATATATCCTAAAATTTGTCACAGCGTCGGACAAAAAAGTTATCTCACCATTTTGGTTTATTATTTTCAATAATGAAACATTGTGATCGGACAAAAAATTCAAAAAACATAAACCCCTCTCAAAATTTGAGGTTTCATGTTTCAAGACGCATAGAATTCGAAAAGCGAATACAAAATTTTTTGCCCGTCCGCCGTCCGCGCATTTTCTCCGAAACTACTGGACCGATTTTTTTTCAAATTTTGATATAAAATCAGAGGTCACCCGAAGATGATCCTCCTTCATCGACATTACTCTCTTACCCGCCTTTAACTTTCAAAATGCTGGCCGAAAAACTGTAGACTGTAGCTCCTAAATATGTTCTACTCCAAATGTTATATTCTTGGTTTGGTTTTTAAATTTTAAATGTGTTACTGACCTAATGCTATTTTTTAAGCATATTACTAATGATTAAAGAAAAACCGTTTAGTCCAATAATTGAAATCACCTTTTGTTTCTTTTTCTTAGTGACTCGGAAGGTAATGTTACTTTAGATGTATAATTGTTTGGAGATAATAAACCATTGTGAAATAATTTGCAGCGTTTTTTATTCTGAATCATTTTATCCTAATGACAATGAATTATTAAAACCTATCAGAAGAAGAAGTATCAAATAATTCAATGAAGTTTTGATACGTTTCTAACGTCAATAGCGTGGACTCTACTCCTTACATATTAATAATATTTTCGATCTGTATTCAGTTGTATGTTTATTCATACATAACTAACCAGGAACTACAAGGATAGCTCACATTCCAACCAAGAATGGGTTTGTTAGACATACTGAGAAGTTTTCTCCAACATTGGAACCATTGGAGTGACGAGCATTCCGATATAATTATTCAAAAGGAATATCGAGGATTCATGCACATTATCGGCTTGTATCCTAACGTCAATAAAGTTGGTCTCTTTTGGGGTTTTTTCAGAGCTGTGGTAGTCGGATCTCTGCTATTGTTTCATACTGTCGGTCTCTTTGTATCTTCTGCGTATTTGTACGAAATCAACTTCATTTACTTCAGCACATCTCTCCACTACTCCTTGATTGTAGGAATATCTTTTCTCTACGTATTACATTTCAATACAAATCGTCATTACTTTGCTAGATACCATTCTAGGATGTATTTCAACTTTTATGATTACCATGAGGAAATCACAGTTGAAATCAGAGACTTGATCAAAAAGGGTAAAAAGGAGAAGATAAGATTAACTATATTGCCCGTATTTTCGACATTGGCAGCGGTTTGTGTTTTACTCCTGGCTCCGATTTTGGACAAGTATGGGACTTTTGACTTCGACATCGAAACTTCCATCAACTTCAACCTTCCTCTGCCTATGGTCTACGTCTTCGATTCCTCCACTAGAGCAGGCTACCTGGTGGCTCTTACCCATCAACTCTTATCGGCGATGCTGTGTGGTGTGGTCCTCGGAGGTACGGGATACTCCTTCATAGCCACCGCTTCCACTATCGCTACCCAGATGAGAATACTGATAAATCGACTTGATACTATAGAGTCAAGAGCTTTGTCTATGTATGAGGCAAAGTATGGCCCGAATCCAGCTCAGAACGATTACGATTTGTACAGAGATGAAAAGTTCTCGAAATGTATGGATATCTGTTTACGAAGATGTGTTGAACATCATAAAATAATTTTGAGGTACTGTTCATTTTTATATTGATAACAAATATATCTCCTCGAAACACACGGAAACTTTATAGCTATGGAGGAAATGGTCCAGGCTGCCGGTCATAAAAAGACTAATATAGCGAAAAACGATTTTCTTTCAAGCCAACGTTCAACCCAACTATGCAGGTCTTCTTCAGTGGGGCCTATGCCGCATGGAGTTTCGGTTGAAACTCACTACTTTCAACCATTATTTTAGTCTTTTTAAGATCGCCACCCCGGACCATCTCCTTCCTCTAAAATATACAACGGTCAACCATCAAATTTTCTTTAATTAATTAAAACATGTGAAAACAAACAAAACGGTAGTGGATTAGTAAGAGACATGTCTGCGTTAAAATCCAGTAATGAATTTCAAATTTTTTTTCGTAAAATATAATATTTTTATAATAATAAAATGATATATCTATACCCAAAAACATGATTAGAGTAAATATTCACTGAAAGTAATTTAATTGTTTTCACTAGTAACTTGTTTTAAACAATATGTGTAAAAATCGATTTTTCTATGGGTGCAAAAAAATGTTCACCTTTGTTATTGTCGATCAGGTATTTCAGTTTTGAAGAAAATGGTGCCATGCTTTTGGCATTTAAAATAATAATAATACTAACAATAATAAACATTACCACTATTAAAAAAAATAAAAAGCTAACTAAAATTGGAACTGACAAAGAGACGCCACAGACGTGGGGTGATCCCCAATACGGTTCAGGAGCCGAAAAAATCATATTTTATAAATTCTTAACATTTTTTAATATTATTATTTTTTGGTTTTGCTTTGCATTGATTTCTAGGTTATAAATTATCAATTGATCATTTTTTGTGAAAATAATACAAAATTTTATAATTGCCAAAAAAATTTATTTTTCGATTGCTATTAAAATTTGTACTAAGGTTTTTTTTTTCGAGGTGCGAAATAAAATTCTCAACTTTATCTTAAAAATATACTTGAACCCACTTTGCTCCTTCAGTCGGTACAAATTGTTGCAATATTGTATTCACCCTGCATCTACATGTCAAATATAAATTATTCAAAACCAAAGTATGATTTAGGCATGTAAATAATCTAGGTCCGAAAATAAGAATAAAATCTTACGATATCCCATTAAATATTTTTTAGGGATATAACAAGTTCGTTTTTCACACCTCAAATAACCTTAAATAAAAATTTTAAATAAAAATTTGGATTATCAGATTTAATTTGTGTATTCTTTGTTTTCACAGCATTATCTCTGAACAAAAGTATTTTTATTCGTTGCCGCTATTCTCTATTTTCTTCGTGGCAGGTTTGATAATTGCGCTTGCCATGCTTGGATCCAGTAGCGTATGTATACAAAAATAAATAATAGATTATTTAAAACTAACATTGGAGATGTATAACTCACTTTCTGTTCACAGTGGAAAGTTTTACCTGGAAATACCATCGTGTCTTTAATGCTTTGTCTGGTAGAATTAGCCTTTCTTGGTATTGTATCTACTTTGGGACAGACTGTAACTGATTTGGTGAATAAGATAATTGTATTTTTGATCTGTAGTTAATGCTTATAGTTTTTAGTGTATTTTTTTTTACAAAGCTAACAGATTCGAATAAAAACCTTCCAGATTTGTTGACAATGTCAATATAGTTTTTTAAATAAATGCTGGTAATTTTAAAGCAGTATTTGATCTCCACTCTTATCGTACGCCACCAATGTCTTTTTTTCTCTTCATCGCCTTATAAACTATACAGTTAATTTTTCGAGCCAGGGGAGAGGGCGGGGGCTTAAACTAGAGTTAAAAGTCACCTCTCTCCCGACACCGGTACTTAAAAAAAAATAAAAGAATTGTAAAAAGCATCTTTAAAAGTTAAAAGAACATTTTATTTGATTATAAATGTTAATTCTAAAACATTTAGGTACATTTATATGAACTTGAATTTGCTGAACCTTGAATCGTTTTGTGGACTCCCCACAGATTAGAAACTTATACTATCGACATGTATTAGATTGTCCTGAAAATAATGCAGGATTTTCTTATAATACCTCTCTCTATAACAAACTGTTGAAGTTTTCTGGATTATTCATTTGTACGAATGTCAACACTTATTAATCCTCTTTTTTTTTTAAATAAAGGATTTTCTTCATAAATTGAAATTTCCCTCAGTTACTCTAAGCCACAACATCTCTTCACCTGACACGAGGTCTTCCTCTCCTCCTACCCTCGGCCTCCCACTCAAATGGCGTTTTGGGAAATCGTTCGCTATTCACCCTTTTCATATGCCCTTACCACTGTAATCTTTTTTCTTCCATTATTCTTAACTTCCATTCTTTTGGTTTATTATTTTCAATAATCAACCATTGTGATCGACCAAAAAATTCAAAAAGTTAACTCCTTCTCAAAATTTGAGGCTTCACGTTTCAGGACGCGTAGAATTCGAAAAACGAATAAAAAATTTTTCGTCCGTCCCTCGTCCGCCGTACGCCGTCCGCCGCCCACGCATTTTCTCCGAAACTACTGGATCGATTTTTTTTCAAATTTTGATATAAAATCACAGGTCACCCGAGGATGATCCTACTTCATCGATATTACTCTCCGCCTTTAACTTTTAAAATGGCGGCCGAAAAACCTGCGTTGCTATAGACTGTAGCTCTTAAAAGAATGTACAGATTTCAATGAAACTTCGCAAAAGTCATTTTCTCGACGTCCCTTAAATTTATCTATAAAACATACTTCAACGAAAAGAAGCTGGAAAAAAAGTTACGAGGGATGGTAAAATTAAATTCCGAATAACTCGAAAAGTTTTTACTTTTTTGTTGATATTGTATATAGTTTACGAAATTTCCTAAAAAAAAAAATCGTTAAAATCGAACAATTAGGAGCAAAGATATGGTCTTCGGTTTTTTTAATATGTTCTACTCCAAATGTTATATCCTTGGTTTGGTTTTTAAATTTTGAATGTGTTACTGAACTAATGCTATTTTTTTTTTTAGCATATTACTAATGATTAAAGAAAAACAGTTTAGTTCAATAGTTGGAATCACCTTTTGTTTTTTTTTCTATGTAACTCGGAAGGTAATGTTACTTTAGATATATAATTGTTTGGAAATAATAAACCATTGTGAAATAATTTGCAGCGTTTTTTTAATGTTCTCGATTCTGATTCTTTGCCAACCTCCTCCAAAAATCCATCTCCACAGCTAGAAATCTTTTGGTTTGTGATTTTTCGAGCGGCCATGTTTCCGACTTATAGAGCATTTTGCTCTCTATCAGAGCCTTAGATATCAATTTCTTTACTTCATTATAAATATTTTAGGTCTAGAGAACTGAATTAAGCATACCAATTGCTTTCCGCCCGTTTGTCAATATTTTTTCAATATCCTTCCTATTTTATCGTTCTCTGTGGACAAGTATATTAACCCTCTTCCAAATGATAATGTTTTTTTACTACTGTTGCACTTCACTGCTTAGAAATGATTCAGTCTTTACTAAGATATCAATGCGAAATTTTTGAATAGTTTTGTTTTACGTGTTTAAACTATGCCTAAATGGGGCCCAGACGGCCAAAAATATCAATCATGTCTGGGGCGAGCGCAACATTAATGAGTGCACTGTTCCACGGTGGTTCAAAATATTTCGGGAGGTAGACTTCAGTCTTGAAGACAAAAAAGATTGTGGAAGCACTTCCTCTCTTGACGACAATGTTCTGATGGCTTTGATAGAAGAAACCCCCAGAAAAACTGTTCGAGAACTTACAGGGAAACTTAACCTTAGCTAAACGACCGTCGATGACCACCTTAAGGCGATTAGAAAGTATAAAAAGCTTGAAAGTACACTCATTAAACAACCGCCAAAAAAAAAAAAAACTGCGTTATGAAGTTTGTGCTACAGCTTGGATATGAAACTCTGCCAAATCCACCTTACTCTCCGGACGTCTCCCCTACAGATTATCAGCTTTTTGGACCTGAATCACTATTTACGTTACAAAAAATATAATGGACAAAGCGAGTTAGAAAATGCGTTTTTGGAGTTGCCAACAGGTTGGCAGAAATGTATTGATAATAGTGGAGATTATTTTGATTATATAAAACAGTTGCAAATCTTTCTTTTTTTTTTTGTTTTCTTTTTAATCCAAAATACAGCAAAAAGCTAATAATATAAGGTCAAAATTAGTTAAAATAAATAAGGTGTAACATGTAATTTTTACCACAAATTTTATTGTGATGAGTAGTTCTCTGTTTCAGAACGAAGACATAAGGAACTCTGTTTATGGCATCAAATGGTACCATTGTAAGAAAGGATTCTGCTTGAATATAAGAATTATTATGTCTAAGACTCTTATACCCATAACTTTTACCGCATACGGCCTGATAAGGATATGCCATGCTACATTTGCAAATGTAAGATATAGAACGACACCTTACTATTAATTTACTATCAACTCTTACTTCTCCAATTGGGTACTGGCATGTAATTTTAATTTGCATTAATCGATAAATATTATATTAGATTATAAACATAAAAATACAATAAGTCTCGGATTTTTCTGATACATATTTTCAAAGATAATTAGCGTCGAAGAAGAATGGTGGGGCAGCAGCTAAGCCACGAGAGTGAAAACAAAGCCACGTCATGGGATGCCAGTGCCTAGTTTAAATCTATGGATTTATTAGACGTTTTAGTTTAGAATAATGCTTTAAAATTAAACATTTCACACAGTGTGTATATATTTTCGTTTTTTTCTTTCATTTTGTCGTTTCTGAATAAAAATATCTATTTCAAAATTATTGTATTAGCTTTTATAAATAGATTTATATAAATTAGAGTAGAGAGAGATTTTAGAGTATCGTGTTTGAGAGCAATATAGGTCACGATACAGTGGACTCAAGCCACGACACCATTCCCCACTACAACTCCTAGACTATTATTCCATGTTTCTAGTTAAATATGAACTTTTTAAAAGTTTAATTAAAGAATTCGATCTCGATCTGATTAACGTCCTTTTTCATTTGAATTTTATTTTAAATTTATTTTACGTAATTTTTCCTAATTATAATTTCATGATGAGCAAAACTACGCATCCAATATTATCATACAAACCCAAAGTTAATTGTGGAAAATATTTTGAACTATTTCTTTTTCTTCTAATACCTTTTCCAAAATTGTTCTTTTAAGAATATATGCTTGCAGTGCCGGTTTTAAAAAATTCGGCTCCCCCGGGCACATCATCTCTCCCACCCTAAAAAAATTAAATTTATTTCTATTTTGTATTATGTAATATTTGAATTTTATTTCACTCGATATAGCTCTAATTAAGTTGATTTATTAATAGGCTAAATTTGATTAATTTTTTACGTTTTTTATTTATTTATTTTATTTCAAACAAATGACGAGCCCCTCCGAAGATTGGTCGGCACTCTTCCATATCAGCGCATCGGGGCAATTGTCCCGATTGCCCCTCTCTTAAACAGGCACTGTATGCTTGTATTTTAATGTACAAATTAGGATCATATAAATGATCCTATCTTATCCTAAAAATGACATTTCCAATAATGGTAAAATATAATTTAAATAATAGTTTATAATTGAAATATTGCAAAAACAAAGCTCTCATACAACAGGAAATAACTAACGTGTCAACATTTCACCAATTCAGGAAGTCGCATTTGCTTTTATTTTTAGATGTTTTTCAATTATATTCTGTCATGTAATGTAGTATATATTTAAAATGTTTTTATCACTTTAATTTATATCAATGATTTTTTTCAGATAATCAATTCCGCATATTCTTATTATAATCTCGCCTCAGTCACTGGTTCATAAGATAACAGAGACAAAAGCTAGAACGATGGCGTGCCTATATATTGCACTGTAATAGAATAAATAGGTTGCAAAATAAAGTTATTCATTTGTAATTTATTTTTTTAATTATTATCTGTTTTTCTTTATTTCTTTTATTCTTTGATTTATTTTAGTTTTGTTCTCCTTTCTTTCTTTGCATTCGATTGTCTAGCAGGCACATATTGGGTTGGCAAATAAGTCCTTTCGGTTTTTCTGGATAAAATAAAACTCAATGTACTATAGACATAAAATTTATTTTAATCTACAATACATTGACCATTATTAAATATGACTTTTACTATCTTTTCACTAACTGACCAATTCCATGTTCATAGAATGTTTGGAGTTTATTGTTAAAAAATTGATTCAAGTGGTTTTTGATATCATCTTCCTTTCGGAATTTCTTTCCATTCATGGAGTTCTGCAGAGACCGGAATAAGCGGTAGTCACTTGGAGCTAGGTTTGGTAAATAGGGAGGGTGGGGCACATGAACCCATCCAATGCTCAGTAATTTATTGCGAGTGACCAATGAGCTGTGGATCCTAGCGTTGTCTGGGTGGAATACAACACCCGATCATTCATAACTCTTTAGGTTGTTCTTCAAATTTGATGTTACTATATCCGTTGGAAAGTTGAATTATTGATATTCAAAGCCGCATGAATGGTTTCTAATTTAATGTCTACATAAGAAATAAATAAACAAAAATTCCTTATAGGTTTTTTTTTTTTGTCTCCATTTGTAGTTTGTTTACGAAGGTCCTGTTGATGTCATCTTGTGTAATTTATGTGGTTCTAAATTCCTGCTAAATTACTTGTAAACAGCTTGAGTCGTATTTAAGTTATAACATTTTTGTGAGTTTCGAAAAAGATCAGGGCCATAGCACTGATTGACTGGGATTTTGATCAACAATGAGTTTAATATTGCTCGTTTTAATTTCATGTGGGCGACCAGACATCATTGATGTCAAAATTTCCTGAATGAAATTTGGCAAACAAATTTGGACTTGTGCTTTCGGTTTAGGCACCATCCCCATAAACACTGCCAATTTTTCTATGAGCTTCAGCATCACGGTTACCTTTTCTAAAATAATACCACAAAATATGCCGATAATGAATATTTTCTCCCATATTCACAGTGCAATAGCAAACATAATACTAATCTAGTTTCAACAAGAGTTAACAGATATAGTTGTTGACATATTACAGATAGGATAAAAAATCCATCTTAGGGATTAATTCATCAGATAAGAAGTGTATCATAATGACATAAAAATAAACAAAAAAAACCGAAAGGACTTAGTTGCCAACCCAATACTTATGTTTTTCTGTAGCTGCATTCTCTTATAAGACCTCTACTAAATATCAACCGAAAAGGATTTATTTTAAAGAATAAAATAGTTTAAAGAATTCGATATTAAAAATAAATCTCTATAAACTACATTAAATTTTTGTATAAAAATATTTCATATCAATATCAACAATGTTTTAAAATAAATTATTATTCAAATATTAAATTAAATCTTTTATTAAAGTTACTAAATTTAAAATTGAAACAATATTTAAAAACGATGAAAAAAAAAACTGTTAGGAATTTCAGTCAATCTGTTCTTATGGAGTTTAAACTACGTTTTGACCCGAACATGTGAGTCATCTTCCTATTAGTTCTAATCTCAACTTCCAAACGATAGCCCTGAGAATGACCCAAATGTTTAGATCGAAACGTCGGCAACTCTATAAAAATATATTGACTGAAATTCCTAACAATTTTGTTTTAACCATAAAATTTTCAAGTTTTTGAGCCCAAAACCGGTGACAAGTTTTTCACCAGTTATGGACATGCAAAAACCAATTTTAGACAAGGAAAGTAACCAGTTAATGACATTTTAATGACATGTCCATCTTTTCAAATATATAAATACACTTTCAGTCTATAATTAGAGAAACTTATCATTTTGAAGATCTAATTATTGACACCCCTAATACCTGTTGTTTTAATCGAAATTCACAGTTGAAAATTATATTACATCATCAGGAAGTGGTATCAAAATGTGTCAAAAGAATTGAAGCTCATAAACATTAGAGGACGAGATAAAATAAGTAAAATTTTGCCTCAACTTCTTAGCAAAACCCCTAAGAGATTCACTCATGTGAAGTGATACGATATATGAGTTTCCCACCAAATTTATCATTCAATAGAGATTTTATCTTGGCGACAATCAGTGGCTGATTCATGTGCTTTTGAAATGGTGCCAAGTTCGAAATCTTACATGAACCTAAACACTTATTTTATCAAATTTAAGTTACAGGTATCAATAATTGGTATCTTTACTCTACTCTATTCTAAGCATTCAAAGTTTAGAGCTAATCTGTGTCATATCTACTTTTCACATCTGTTCTATCTACATCTGATGGCCGATGGCCAAGATTAATATAGAGACACCCAATTGGTTATGGGATAAAATAAAATTAATATATAAATTAATTATTATTTTAATTGAATGTTGCTTCGAATATTTTTTTAGTTTGTCCTGATTCAGTAATGCCTTAGTGTGTAATAATGCGAGCGTATTTTGTTGAAAATTTTTCGTAATCAACGAGATAAATAAAAAATAACTACATATAATTTGTTACCGATATTGTTTTTCCCAGGCTAAAATAATGTATTGTTTTACGTACTTAAGTATGCTGTATTTTAATTGTTATCATATTTTATCAATATTTACAAAATATGTAAATAACTAAGAAAACGTTTCTGAAACTGTGACGCTTATGTTGGATATGGCAGACATGATTTACAATTCCAGCCTTGAACTTTTTATTGGAACAGAAGAAAGAAGTTTTCGATTGATAAAATACATATCCTAGAGGGCGTATGAATACAGTCTCTGATGAGAGCAAGCATAATTTATGAGGTTGTTTAGTTTGAAAGATCGATTCTGAGAACTTTGCTAATAGAGATATTTAGTATCGACGTGGGACTGTTTGCTTTATTAAGAATTGTTAATTACGTTGCTGACCACTAATCATATATTAGTCTCATATATATATTTATAAATATTAAATATTTATTTAGACAATTTAAATTAATTGATTTATAAGTTTTGATGGTGTTATATACTGTATATCTACCTATATTTATATTAAATTATACCCTATTATTTGGTAGTGTATTTCCCCACGTATTTTACTATAGATGTATAATATTTCAGATTCGATTGTGCTACGTACTGTTGTATATTATATTACCATTTTCATATTTATTTCTGTTTGTTAGTTTGTTTTAAATGTATATACTAAAATGAAATCAATAAGCCAGTTACTTTCTTGTTAACCATATTAAGTTTTATTTGAAAATTATAAATAGTTTTCAAAATTGTTCGAAAAAAAAATGTTCTCACTAATAAAGGAACATTTGTTGTTCTATCAATTAAACAGCGTGATAGACTTTATTATGACGGAAGAAAAAAAATATATACATGATTTCTTGAATAAATTAAAATTTCATAAACGTAATATCATCTTATAACAGATAATAAAATATTAATGAGTAGAGTTTGGTACCATTCAAAATTGTAGAAGTTTTGGTTAAAATAAAATATTAGGTAGCTTTCAATTTTATTTTGTTGTTATACTTTCTTAACCTTTCTATAAGATGTTACATAGAAATGCACAAAGAGAATAAAGTAGACCGTTACTGAGAAACTCCACATGGTCCAAAACCAAGGGTTACAATCGCAATCTATTAATTTCACTTTTACTGATATTGCGATCATGATTACGAACTGCACCTGAAAAAAAAGCAATACAAATAAAGCCAAAATGTTTGGATATCTCACTATTATATATAAATTATAAAATAGAATATATAACCATATTTTATCGGAGATTTTAATTTTGCAAGTTTTTTTTTTTGTGAATTCTGTAGATTAAAGAATGAGAATAATGTTTACAATAATAAATTAAGTAATTCAAGACAGAACTATTGTAAAGTTTTAAACAAAACATGAAACATAATGAAATATTTTATATATATATATATATATATATATATATATATATATATATATATATATATATAATACCGATTCCTTATTGCGGACTAAAAATTAAATATCTTGGAAACTGTTAGAGATACCACAAAATTACAAAGAACTGAAGTTGTAGCTCTCATTTCAGATTCATAATTTATTAATCACAAAAAATCTAGTTTTAAATCTTAAGTACTCGCTCAAGAGCCGGTGTTACCTATTTACCCTACATTTTAATACATTATATTACAAAAATAAAGTGTATGTGTATTAACAAATATTTTAGTTTTTTTTTTTCGCCTACTAATTCACCACAAAACACCTTATCTTTTTTCAATGTAACAACTCGATAATTGATATGCACAAATCTAAAACATGATGTTAGGTTATTAATGGAAAAATCCCAAACAACTCCGCCTTATGTCTCCAAAATGGAAGAAAAATCCGCCAACGTTTCTCCAATTCAAGCATCATCAAGACAGAAACACAGCCAATCAAACATCACTCTATGAAATCCAATAGCATACTGAAGGGAAGATAAGACAACACAGTTCTTTGCTGTTGTCTTACCTACCTTTGGTGAAACGTTGACGGGTTTTTCTTCCATTTTGGAGACATAAGGCGGTGTTGTTTGTAATGTTTCCAATAAAATAATCTCTTGATTATTTTCTTACTAATTTATTAATTTTTAAAATACTGTTCTCACAGATTCAATAAAAAACAGTTTTAAGTGGTCACAGCACTCTAGCAACTACGTTAAACAGCAGTTTTAAGATATTTAGCTAATAAATAAAGATTTTTGGATGTAAATGTTAATATTTTTTAAGTAATTCACTGTTTTACATTTCTATAGGTTAAATCAAGAACCCATTTTAATTCTTTTAAAATAATTGATCTACATTGTTCAAAATGGTTAAATAAACTTAAATAACGTTTATTTTTGAATAATTAAAAAAAAATAAAATAAAATAAAATAAAAGATTAATCGATGCTCCTTTCTATGTAAGCAACTAAACCCTACATCATGACCTCAACATCCCATTTGTCCTAGACCTTATCCAAGAAAAATTCTCCAAATTTCACCAGAACCTTACGTACCACCCAAATCATCTTGCACAATCCCTATCAAGCACCTCCCATCCCTATAATCCTCCAAGAAGGTTGAAACGGCAGTGGCCTCGCAACCTTTTGTAGATTGTATAATTGGAGTTCTGGCAATGGCCAGATTCTTCACGTAGCAGTGACGCGGTTGGGAGAGTAGCGCAGGGTTCTCCTGGAGTTCCCTTGCCTAATTGTATATAGGTATGCATGTGTTTTTGTTTTTTTTTTATTAGTTTTAATTTTCTTATTTTTTACGTTATCTTATTTTATTATCTATTGTATATACTTTTGATTATTATTTTGTTTCTATTTATTTTATTTTTTTTGTACATATAGTGTGAATGTCATCCTACCTCACTATAACCAATGTCCAAGAGAGAGATTGTTATAATAATTAATAAATAAAAAAAAAAAATAGGGTAATGCGAAAACACAAACCTTTGACCTAGTGTTCAAGCTTTAAAACTAGATTTTCAGAATTAATGAATCACGCATCTGAAAACTCTCAATGGACCTACAAATTTGGACCTTTGGAATTTTTACTGTGATGGTTTCTAAAAAAAATTAATTGTAGCTTGCATATACGGTATAGATTGTAATGTAAAGCTTGTAAATATATCCTTAATAGTCCTTGAGATATAAATATATATACCTATTATATAAAAACTATCATACTCAAGAAAATACTTTAAGAGACAAGTTTACATCAACAAATATAAATAAAAATTAATAAATAACTAAGATAAAGTAATCTTGGTCTTTAATCAGTTAAAAATTTAGTTATTTCAATTAATAATGTCTAAAAAAACGTACCAGCTGCAACTTAGTAAGGTACTTCTTCCACCAAAGATATTTTTGTATTCCTGGACCAAAAGCAGCCAAGAAATAATACATGTACATGATCACGTGCACTGTTCCATTCATTATCCCAAAAATTGAAATAACTTCCTCTAAAAAATTTAATTTTAATTAAATATAATATTCTCTTGGCATTATTTAATTATCTAAACATATCGTCTGCAAAGATAAAATAATGCATTTTGGCTGAATTTAGAAAATATCGTCGGTTTATTTAAAAAAATAATAAGGTAATATTTCTTCACCTCTAATCACTATGGACTTTGATGAATTTTGTCTTTTTGAAATCAGAAAATTTAGTACATTTTTTAAAACTATATTTGATATACAAAGTCCCGTATTACAGAAAATTTTTTATAGGAGTAATAATAGACTTCAAGAGTTACATAAAAGTTTATTTAAACAATGGGCTAATTCTCAGCAGAAAAATAGGAAATTCAATATTTGATTTATTTTAAGTAAATCGTGTTACTTAATTTTAGTAATTGGCAATTGTTTCACAATCAACTAGACAAAATTTACTTCAAACGGAAATTTGCACTCATGTTAAATGTATTTAAAGAGTACTCATGAACGCCTAAAACAAGCTAAGTTCGGTTTTTTTTCAAATCATAAATAATTGTGATTTTTTTAATCATCATCAAACTATACTGCAGACAACCCAATTTAAGATAATTTCCACATTTAATAACCTTTAAGTCTATATTAATTAAGTTGAGGTTTATTTGTCAAATTGTGTAAAAAAATTATGTAATTTTTTATTTTATCATATCAAAAAGTACCTTTCTTTTTAGCAAAAATTACTAAAATTAACTGTTGGAAAGCTTTTATTTCTTGTTTTATCATGATCTGGAATTTATTATAATAAACGTAATTGTTTAAATATACTTTTAATTTATAAATATAAAAAATAAAATAAATGGTTAAAGCTTATTATAAGAGGAAGTTTTTCTAAAAGTGGAGTATCTGCAGTATAGTTGGATGATAGTAAAAAAAAAAAAAATTGCGAATAATTTATGATTTTTTTTAAAAACAGAACTTAGGTTAGTTTAGTAGCTAAAAAGTTCTCTATAAATAGATTTTACAATGAAAAATCTATTTTATTTTAAAGTAAATTTTATCTAGTTTACAATGGAGTGACTGTTAATTACTTGAATTAAATATTTCTTTACTCATCGCTTTTAATTTTAATTTCTTACTTTTCAGCTGAAAATTGGCCCATTGTTTACATAAACTTTATGTAGTTTTCAAGTCTGCTATCATTCCTTTAGAAAATTCCCTCTACTTATGAGACACACTGCATAAAATGTTATGGTGTTATATTAGTACAGTCAGTGTTTTTTTAAATGTATAAATGAAGATGAAATTCACACAAAATATTCTTCAACAGTTCACACAATAGTTCAGATCCCTCAATGATGTATTTGGTGACTTTTTGAAAAAAACCGACAATAAATCCAATTCTCTATATCATTCAACCCATTTGGAAAGAAATATTTATATGTAAACTTACCTCTTAGATATATCAAGGAAACCCACATGTTAAATACCATACTCGTGTGGTGGAAAATATGAAGAAACGTAACTTGAGATTGTTTCTTTCTTAAGACGAAAAACACCTTTGAAAAATTATAGTTGTTATGAAATAATGCCCGTAGAAAAGCAAAATAAAAATAAATAAATTATAATACCTACAGTGTCAAGTAAGTCAACCAGTTTAGTCAGGTAGAAGTAGTACATCATTTGCATGTACTGAAACATTAATTAATAATAAGTTATCTTGTAAATTTTCACGTAGTTCATTAATTTAAAAGAAATTGATAAAATGGGCATTATATGATAATTATAACAATATAAATTTATAATTTCAAGGAACACTTAAAAATTAAACTTCACAAACTTTCTTGAACATTTATATCCTTTTTACATCTCACAAAGTTTTTGGTAACTTCGTCCATTTCATTTAAAAATCATAGAATAATATATATTATATAAGATACCACATTCAAAACCATCTATAAAAATTCCTGTCCCAAAAACAGTCAGATAGCTGCTAACCATTCGACAACATAAATTAAAATAATAATCTCTCACCAAGTATATTAAAAACAAAACAATGCCTTGTGTATATAAACAGGAATTTCTCAAACTTCAAGACAGACTAGGTGATTCTGACTTTATCTATACTGACGGCTCGAATAGCTCCGCAGGCGTGGGAGCATCAGTTATATGTAACGAACGATAACAATTTTTTTCTCTTTCACCACTATGTAATAATTATACTGCTGAATTGGTTGAAATACATAAGCGTTTCAATGTTATACAGCCCACTAAACAAAAAATGGTCATATGCACAGATTCTCTATCCGCCCTAATTAGTCTAGAAAATGTTTTCTCATCTAATATCATAATACAAAACATTCTGTACTCAATAAAGTCCGCAAACAGAAATAATATATCAGTATTTTTTGTGTGGGTCCCTGGGCATTGCGGAATAGCCAGTAATGAACTGGTTGATCGAGCTGCCAAAAAAGCCATCATTGATGAAATACCTTATCGGGGACTACCTCTAGAGGATTTTATGTAACAGATTTTATGTTACTGTCGAATGTAACAGAAAATAAATTGAGGGAGGTAAAGGGTGACGTTTCCTCTTGGCCATCGTCAAACATGAATAACCGGAGAGAGGAAGTAATTCTTACGCGTATAGGTCATACACGCCTTACCCAGGGATACCTGATGACTCGTGATTCTTCGCCAACATACCAAACCTGTGGGACTCCTCTGACAGTGAAACACATTACCCAGGGATAAGCATATTACCCAGTATTACACTGAGTTGAGGTGGCTCTACCCATCCTATCGCCGTCAGTACTTCCTAGCCACCTTTTTGTACCAAATCATTAGAACCCATCGACCCTCCTATATTTTTCACAGCTTACAATTCAAATATTCCATCCAATCCCGTCCCACCAGATCTCGTACTTCCGAGCTCTATCCTCCTCCTCACCGAACTGCTGCGTTTGACAAATCCTTTGCAATACAAGCCGCCTCCCTCTGGAATTCCATCCCAGCTGATATTCGAAACGCTCAATCAGTTTCCTCGTTCAAACCTCTTCTCTTTAAGCACCTACTCCTTTCTCAATCCGAATGATTGTGAAATATATCTTAGAGAAATATCTGAGCACCACCAGAGACTACCTCAATTTATTAAGGTTATTTTAGTTTCTCATACATATGTACAATTTACTTTTTCTTTTCTTTCTCTTTTCTGTATATTTATCGTAAGTCAACTTTCATTGTAAATATACAATTTAATTGTAGCCACACAGACATATAATCTGTATTCATATTTTGTTCTTAAGGGACAACAGTCCTAGAATAATAAAACATTTTTTTCATTTTCATTTTTCATTTTCATTATAACATAATGCAGAGCTTACGAAACATATAGACTACCTTATGACTTGACAAACGATCTACAATTCATTTTACAGGACAATACGAATGAAATTGATAAATTATTTTATTTTCTGAAATGTTCTAAATTTGAAAATACAATCTAATTCTCAATGAAAATAAGGCAATAATAATCCTAGTGATTGAAGCCTTGAAATTTAAGTAAAAAACAAACAAGAAAGCAATGATAAATTCATTTAATATTTTCAAAGTCAATTTTATATAAATTTACAACGAAGCAATTGTTAATTAATTAAATTAAATATTTCCTTAGTTATTGCTTTCTATTTAACAAAAATACGACCCAGTTAAAAAACCACAAAACTCTCTTGGATTTCGTATTTTGCTGCTGAAAATTGGACCATTGTTTATTAACTTTTTGTAGCTCTTAATGTCTGCTATCACTTCTAAAAAATTTCCTTTACTTAGGGGACTTCCTGTGTATTAATAATATTGTTATTAATGTTATAGAGATGGTTCTAAAATTTAAAATGGGTGAAGCGGCCCGTAACATTGTCAGATGTAAAAAGTAGATAAAAGTACAATAAAGTTTTCGAAGTAAAAAAAAATTTTTAAAATGTTCATTGAAATAATAAATTATATACCTTCTTAAAACTAAACTTCTGTGAACATAAAAATTTAAATGAATTATAGTTGATGGTTTGAATTGATATTTTAAGCAAACGAGGATCTTTAAAATGATACAGACATCTCACTTACGGTCATTTTATTTTCTTCTGTAAATCCCATTGTTTCACTTATTGGATTACAAACATGGTTCCAAAATTTTGGTATCCATGAGTGCCAGTAAAGGATTGCCTGAAATTAAAAAAAAAAGAAGCTAAATGAAGACCATTGGGACAAAGAGGTTTAGGTCAATTGTTTATAAAATAGAGTTAAGTGCATGGCTGGTCTGAAATGTTGTCAATATAATTCAATATTCTCGAATTTAATCAAAATTGTTAGATCCGTTTTCAAGTAAATTATAAAAATGAATACAATCGATGATATAATGTAGCACTTTCGGTTATAAAATTTTGAAGAAAAACTTGCTATAACATCCCAGTTACGAATTTTTTTTTCATTTTTGAGCTAGAATGATCACATGCACATATACCTAGATCATGTGCCGAAATAGCCGTAGTATTTTAAGTAAATTTTCAACCTTACAAGCTTATAGTATTCATTTTAGATATTACGGAAATGATAGTCTGTCAGCTCAGTCGATTTAAGGTTTTAGGGGAATTTGAACCCAACAAAAAGTTCAAAATTTTGAAAGCGTTAAATTACAATTTTCAATAATAAATCATTAGAAAGAGGATGAAACGCTGAACATTTTCCTTACCAATATTATTGCCGAATTTTAGTTTCTAAGATATTTTAATCTAGATCTTCAATAAAACTTTTATCAGTTGGTTTCCGACACTATTTTTCCCCTTTTCGTCGCTCTAACACAGTGCCGCGTTAAGCTCAATTTTTAACAATACGTTTTCAGAAAGAGGATGAAATGCTTAACATTTTCCTTTCGTACAGTCTGCAAGTCCGATTTTTAGTTTCTGACACAGGCTGATAGTGTTGCCCAAATGAGAGACCGAGAGGAGTCTTGGTCTTGAAAACTCAGTCTTGGTCTTGAGCAAGAGTCTCGCAACAGTCTTACAGTTACTTATTAGCTTGTTGCTATAGAGATATTACTGTAATTTTTTAGATAGGAGAAACCCAACTAAGCCCGAATGAAAAATTAGAGAAGTTAAATGCAAAAGTATATTGGTTATACCAATTATCAACATATAGTAACTAAGATGGTCAAGTATTAGTAAGTATTTTGCCTTAGTTTTTATTTAAAAAATCGATTTTTTTTACCAATCCTGGTAAGACTACGGTAAGACCGATTTTGGGCAACACTACAGGCGGAGAGGGGAGGGGCTTTCGCGCTGAAGCTTTCCCCTCAAAATGGTAAAATATAACCATATTTTATAGAAAAAAAATATTAAAAACCATCTCTTAAAGTATTATTGTTCGTGTAATTATATTTAATAGGACTCCAAGAATCACTTAAACACCTTGCTATATTGGTAGTTCACTTCTTTCTTTTTTTTTCTTTTCAAATTAATTATCGTTATATTCATGAAAAAAAAATCTTTCGGGCTGAACTCTCCCACAAAATGAAATCCTGGGTCCGCTGTGGTTTCTGGGATACTTGATCCATATGCAAAAACACTTCAATTTGTTGACTCACAAAAAGCACCTATAGATTAAAATATCTCAGAAACTTAAATTTTAACCGGCCAACTGTAGGCAAATGAAAATTCAGCTTTTAATCAATCTGAAAAGATACAATAACCCGATACGCAACCGGTCTTTCCATAACACAACAATGAACCTTAATATTGAAGAAATCTGATAAGCTAGGGATTTGTTTTTCACAATTATCAATAAATTAGTTAGTTTTAAAAGGGTATAAGTGCAACTCGATGTTCTAAAAGTAATTTAAAACATTTTCAAATGTGGTAAAAATCGGTTTTAACTGTAAGAGTGGTTTAAGAAATACCGAAAGACTAAAAAGAAAACCCGCCAGAGTATAAAAATCATTGCGATTAGGTATAGAAGTTTAACTTGAACTGTCGTTTACTCATAACTTAGTTTTTGTCACTTACTCCTTTACTTCTAGGGGTCTCAAATAACCTTTCAACGATATTAAATGAAACCTCTCCACAGTAGATAGCGCTAATGGATGTTCGCTGGAAAAGGTTTTTGTCTTTAATTTATACATATAATATTTTAGTATCTGATTTGTATTTATAAAAATTAAAAAAACAAACAGAAAAACGATTTACAGGATAAAATTCCTAAACTAAACATGTATTTACATAACAAATTAGAAGGAATCGGCTGATTGGAGTTGGAAAGGTGATTTTGGGTAATTACTTGTGGTCATATGTTGTGCATTGCACCCATTATGGGCCCATTATCTTCGATTTCACTATTACTTTTTTATAATAGAACATCACTTTGCGAACCAAGTTTTAGCCTTCTACATCCAGCATCATATCTATGGCACGAATGTGTCTCCAAAACGTTTTTATCTTTATTAATCATGAGAGAAATAGCTAGTAAAGATGAGATATGATAATTAACTTTTTTTTTGGTTAATTATTTTTAATAATGAACTATTGTGATCGAACAAAAAACTCTCAAAATTTGTGGTCTTAAGTCTTAAGTTCAGGATTCGTAGAATTCGAAAAACGTATACATTTTTTTTTTTGTTTGACCGCCGTCCACGCATTTTCTCCGAAACTACTGAACCGATTTTTTTTTTTCAAATTTGGATTTAAAGTCAGAGGAAACTCGAGGACGATGCTCTTTCATCGATATTACTATCCGCCTTTTCTTTTCAAGATGGCTGCCAAAAAACCTGCGTTGCTATAGACTATAGTTCCTAAACGAATGTACTGATTTCAATGAAATTTAGCTAAGTTCTCTTCTCGATTTTCTTTAAATTTATCTATATAACATAATTCAACGAAAAGACACTGGAAAAAAGTTAAAGTTAAAGGGGTGTTAAAATTAGATTCAGAATAACTCAAAAAGTAACATTTTTTTGGTGATTTTGTTATGGTTATTTAAAAGTTTATGAAATTTCCTTTAAAAAATTGTTAAAATCAGACAATTTGGAGCAAATATATGGTGTATAGATGTTTTTTATATGTTCTACTGCAAAAGTTATATCATTTGTTTTGGATTTTGATTTCTGTATGTGTCAATGAAATAATGCTATTTTCTTTTTTAGCAAACTACCAATAATGAACAAAAAAATGTTTAGGTCAATAATTGCAATCACCTTTTATTTATTTTTCGTTATTACAAGGAAGGTAATTTTACTTTAGGTGTATAATTGTTTTGAAACAATAAACCATTGTGAAGTAATTTTCAGCGTTTTTTGCAATAATTTAACATTACTTTCTTTACAATTTAAACTTTTTGTTTTACATACCTTGTGTAGTAAATAAAAGTTTAATAGGACTTGTGATAAGTTGTAAGCCATCATGATAATCTTCAAAGAGAAAGGCTTTCTTTTTCTCATTATCATTGGTCCAAACACCTTGACTAACAAAATGTATAACATCATCGTGATGAAGACATGATGGAACTTAAGGAATAGCGAAGGATAGTGGTCCTCCACCCTTGGACCTGCAAAATATAGCAAATTACTCTCTACAATTATAGTCCGATTCGGAATATTATTTTTGTTTCAGATAGACCGCTTACTGAGGAAGTCTTTAAATAGTCCGAGAGATTGACAGAAAATTCGACATTATTTTATGAAAATTTTAAAAGTATTTAGAAATATTTATAACATTTATATTAAAAAATAAGTCTGCTAGTCTGATCTTGAAACCTGTAAAAATTGCTACTGAATTAAAGGATATTAGACCAGTAACCTGAGGATGGAAACAGAAAATTTGGTTGGAAAAATGTTTTAATTTTATCAATTTGTATATATGGGTTCAGACATGTAAAAAACAAAATATCTTTCGCGGGCCACCAAGGATAAAGTTTTTACATCCAAAAAATCCAGATTTTTCCGATGTTATTCATCTATAACGTCCTAAACGGTGCATCAAAGCATAAAAAGTTTTCTTTAAGAAATTAAATAACGTTAAATAACCTTTTCAACTAAAAAAACCTCTTACATTTTCGATTTGTTTACTCCTTGTTCCTCTGTCTATTCGTTCAACACGAGATCCCTCAAATCTGTTTATTCCTTCTCATAGAACTGTTTTCTTTAAAAATTCTTTGTCATGAGTGCTACATTGTTTTGGAATTTGCTACCAACCTCCATATGCAAATCCTCATCCTTGACCTCATTTAAGCATAATTTATTTATCCATCTCCTCACCATTCAATCTTCCGAATATGTGTTCACGTTTTTCAGATCAGTCATTCGCTTTAATGTATTCTGACAGATAATTATATATCACCAACATTTTTATTTTTGCAAATATGTGAACTCGCATATCTGAATTTATCTATGATTTCATATATCAAACAGTGCCTTTTCTTTATTGTAACTTTAGATCTACATAATCATGTAATTTAATTTATTTCCAACGCCAGACAATTGTCATTAAATTGTACATAGAAGTTATTCTAAGGGAACTTGGAATAAAATTTATTTTTCTTCTTCTTAAATTTTGTCTCGAACGAGTACCTAAAGTACGAGTACTTTAGCAATTTGGTCAAATGGTATGGTCGATAACGACGGTCAACGAGCGCCGATTTTTACCAAATTTGTCAAAAACTGATACAAATTACTACAAATAGCGCTTCAGCTCAGAAATGAATTCTCTAAGAGAAAAAACTCAAGAATAAAACTTGTAGAGTATCGAATTCCGCGTCTACTGAGTAACAACAGTTTTAATTATTATTGCCCAAAATCGGTCTTGATCTTGCACTTTACCAAGATCGCTTTACTATTGCAAGACTAAGACCAAGGCTGGCCAAAATAAAACGTTTTTTAAAAATAAAAATTAAGGCAAAAGCTTGACAATTTTAGTTAATATATGTAAAGAATTATATATTATATTTATAGTTATTCTACATTTTATTTCCGGTTTATTGCAATAATTCACTAAATAAATTTTTTAAAGAGCTAAAATTTTAAGTATATATTGTGAATTTCGATTATATTTATCGATGAAAAAACGCATTAAGTGCACTAAAATTACTCAAATCCTTTAATATATAAAAAATAAATACGATTAGTACACACTGTTTTGATTTAATAAAGCAAAAATTCATCAAAGTACTCAATGATTTAATTTTTAAAAATGTTACTTATGCTTTTTGAAACTTTTGCACGATGTCTATTATATTAATATAAATTTATGCTAATTATTCTCACCTCCCTCCCCAATAAAAATGTTGAGGGACGAGAATATCGTTTCGTCTTCCCCTCAATAATTTAAAGTAAAAAAAAAAAGGAAGTTAAAATTGATAATAACCTTTGAATAACATGAATAAATAAAATCCATTAAGAAAATTGTACTAGCTGGTTAAGCTAAGGCCTATAAGTAGGTACGCAATTATTTTATCTCTACCTAAATATTCCTATTATTTAAATTTTTATTCATATTCAGGAATAATAATATCGAAACATATCCTTGGATTTTATGTTTCATTTATGTGAACACCTCTATGTTCACGCGATTTTCTTAAAAATGTCTGCAATAAAGTTGGAAAAAATATATTTAACAAGTATATACAAGAATTTTTTATAGACATTTTTACAGAGTCCGACTGTGAAAAAGTTTTATTTTTATTTGGAGCTTGTACAAACTAATAAATCAAAATTATTTTTCTGATAAAAATATTATTCATTTAAAATTAATTTAGCTGAAAAAGTTCTAGAAATGTATCTATGTTATGAAGGCTGCCCTTCCTCTCATGTCTAATGTATACAAATAATAATATATTCAATTGTTTTGTTCATATATTTTCAAGAATATTCAAAAGTACATAAGAAAAAAATCCTACAACTGTCTAAACATATGTATAACTTTATTTTAAATATCCAATATTATATTCGTTCGTTTCACAATAATTATGTTGGATTCGTATTCACAATAAATACCGCCATTTTTTAAAACTTAAAACGCCCCCCCCCCCTTCTCTTCCTCTAATCATAATGAAAAGTCTGTGCCTATGGGTCTGTGTAAATATAGGGCTATATTACTACATACCGTAAGGAAACGTGTTGTTCCGGTAGATATTGCCTATCAGTTCCATCACTTCGCACTGCAGTTGCAATTGAAATGGGATTCTTGAATACATATCATCCCCTCCACCAAAGGCAGAAATGCATAATTTAATATAAAAGTGGGGGATGAATCTTTCCTTTAATGAGTAAATCAATTACCACTACCTTTTACGATTTTTCTATTAATTTTTTTCCAAATTCTTTGGCTTTCCAATGGTGTATTATACATCTATTTTCGTACGCTTATTTCCAGAAAATTGTTTTCATAGTCGAAAATATTTTCCCGTTATTTTCTTCTTAAATCAAAGATAAAATTCTTTCATAGTTCATATTAGTCAATGTTGTATCACTGCTGGCAATGAGTAAAAGTAAAAAGTTATCTTTTTTTTTTTTTTTTTTTTAAATATATAAAGGCTTACTAGATAGGAGAATTTTATGAATAGATCTTTATTTTTGTTGGAGAAATTATAAAAATAATTTAAAGAACTTTTAAAACTGAAATAATTGCCATACTCAGTCACAAACACACACAAACACACACAAACACACACACACACACACACACACACACACACACACACACACATATATATATATATGATAATATTTCTAATAATTTAAAATAGGTGTTTTATCAATAAAAGTAGCCTTTTTACTTTGATGAGTGAAGATTTTTTTGAGCCAGGTTAATTAAATCGTTTTCTGTATTCTACAAACCTTATAATGATATAGAACACAGGAATCTTAAACCGATGGATGAAAGATTCATATCCACACAATGTAATTTCGGAATATCTAAGCGATTTCCGGCATTGATTTGAATTTAAAATTATGGAAATCAAACATTTTTCCTACCTCTGGGATTAGTTTCATTTCAAGGTTCACCTATCGTAAAGAGGAAAATAAATCTAAGAACGTGCGTATATAGTTAGTATGAAATTCAAAACTTTCAGTGGGAATTAAAACTGTCTGTCATATTAAAATTGTATGTCGTCGATACAATGGCAACGTATATAATATTGTCGGAGTCAGTGTTATATTAAACTCATGTTACGTATGGAAGCCTGTTGTAATTTGGTTTTTCCATTACACCCATTATTCTCTACGATCTATTATTACTCCTTTAGTTAATTATCAAAGTCTATCATATTTTATATTTAACTATTTTTTATATCAAAGATTAATGTTATTATTTCAAATAAAAACAATTAAAGGTATTTTAGAACAAGCTAGTAGTGAAAATTAGTCATTTAAGCCCTGTTTGAGAACATCAATGAAAATAAAACTTACATTATATTAAAAACTGCCTAATAATAACATTGATATAGTAAGTTTAATCAAAATCATTGATGCTGTTTTTGACAAAATCGTATAAGTGTGTTAAATCGATTATATAAAGTATCACTTTCGGTTTGCTAATTTTGACGAAAAAATTTCTGTAACATACAAACAAGGCTTATAAAAACGTCAAATATGCAATTTCACTTTCATACGACTTTTCGTTTTGGAGACTCTTCAGACACACACACACAGACCATTTTGTGGAACTTGGTTATTTGGACTCAGGATATCTCAAAACATGTATTTCCGTTGAAAACTTAGATTCGCGATAGATTTTAACGATCGCAATACTGTCCCGTTCTACGTATATAGGTAAATGAAAGTAAAAAATGGTAAGGAAAATATAATTCGAAGGACACTTAAGACCACAGCTGTTGAGTGTCCATAAGAAACTTAACCTAAATTACATTCAACTTAATTCTATTTATTTCCAAATTTTTGTTACTTAAATAGTTGAATTTTAATTTATTCTAGCACTAGGTCAATAAATATTGCGCAAAAACGTCTTGGAGGCCATAACTACGTCACACAGAAGCAATACGCGTCACCCGTTATGCGTCTGTCGCGATTGATTTTCACTCACTTTGCAATTCTGAGTGTTTAAGAAGTTCCAGCCGTTTAACATTCCGTTGAATAGAATCCAAAACTTTTACTTGTTTGACCGCTTCGGTTTTAAAACTGATCTGATTTAGATTATTTTATTTAGTCTTATACCTTAATAGGTGTAAATTGTAGGTAGTTATATTTCTATTGAATGGAACCTCAAAATCTGACATGTTTGGCCGAATTTCAGCCAAAGCGCACTTAATCTGGGCTGTAAGATTTGGTGATCCGAGGTCTAATCATTAAGGACTATTAATTAAAGGTAAAGGAAGCTTACGTTCGTCCATTCACTAAATGTGCATTGGCTCCTAGCCTAATACAGGAGGGAGGGGGTTGTTGGGGAGAAACAATCAAACCTACTCTAACCAGACTGGGAATGTCGGTCCGTCACGAAATAAATTTCATTCATCCGGATAGAGGTGGGGGAATCCTGGCTATATTCCCTTTGTATTTTCCCGCAATCAATTGATACCATACTACTACAATGGCTCTCATAGACCTCGGTGAGAGTTTCCACTTTAACAAAACCGCAGCGTATGGTAAGTATTACTAATATTAACTAATAAAAAAATCTATATAAATCGGATAAATATATGATAAAATTGCTTTTATAATATTATTGGTATTAAAGTAAAAAGAAAAGTATTCAACGAAAAAAATAATGATTTAATTGGAGCAGGTTTATTCGATATTGTAAAAAAAGTTCTTTTTTTTTCAATTCAGGAAAAAAATATAAATATTAGAAAATTAATAACAAGTTAATATCTAACAACACTATTATTTAATAATATATAGTACTATTAATAATTGATAATTAAATCTTAATTTAAAAACTATCAAAGTTTTGTGAAATTAATCTATAAAACCACCAGTACTCTGTACAGTCCGTGGTATAGATTCCTTTTTATAAAATTATTAACATCCGCCTAAAACTATAAATAGGTTCATCCCATCGTAACCTACAACTTTTTTTGGGAGTGTTTGAACCCAGGGGTCGGCAAACATTGTCTATTTAATTAAGTACTAAAACATCAATTTGCTTTCCCCTTGTTGAATCGTACGATAATTTGATCACAAAATTGATAATAATTGGGGCCTACAAAAATATTGGGCAGTTCGGTATGACTCTAATCCCCATCATGTCAAAATAACGAGGTTATATAGGCCAAACGGCCCAACATTTTTGTAGGCCACCTTTTTTTTTTCTCTTTTGTTATCAAATTATCTTATGATTATAGTTGAAAGCAAAAGGGTATTTATGAGTTTTAGTACCTCACTAAATTAATTATTTCATGAGAGAACGCCCCAATTCTGAGAATTTTCGTACCTAAAAAAATTGTATGTATTGGCTTATATAAAAGCTTATGAGTTGTGTAATAACGAAAATAGCCTCTGGTCACAGATGCAAAGAACGCATAAAGCGTGCATAGCCCTCTTACCTTAAAATTCCCTTGGGCAATAAAAGGAAATTGAAAATTTTTGTATATATACATTTATATTTATATTGTATTTTGTAATCAAGAAATTCCTGGGGGGTAGGAAAAAAAAATAACGAAAATCGAATTTTTCTGCATAAAATCAGAGTTAAAATAAGATAATATTAATCATATAATAAATTTAATGCTAAACAACTTTCTTCGTCGTGATTTTTTCGTAAAATAAAATGACACAGAGATGACTAGTCAAATAATAATAAAAATGCTAAAAAAAGAGATTTTTTTTTCTCGAAATTGATGAACTATGAGAACGGATATCTCGAAAACTATACAAGATAGCGGAACAAATAATAAAACTAATTTTGTTGAAAATTTTGTCAGCTTTAAATTTTTTACAGATCATTACCATCTCTAAAAGGCACAGTTTCACTGATAATGGAAAACCGAAAAAAGTAAACTTGAATTGTAATTTAAAATTCCTACCCAAAATCTCGGGACATGGGATATCTGAATGACCGCTAGCCCAGCGGTTATCTGCAGTCAGACGTGCATTTTTATCAGGCTTTTGGAAATGTTCTTCAATTTTTAGGTCCAAATCTTAATATGAAATAAGTCACCTTTTTTACCATGAGCTTCCGAACTGTAAGTCCAATTTCGCAACCATCATCTAAGATTTTATGGATTCATTAACAGAAATCTAAATTAGAATTCTCCCTACCAGATCCACTGGTTCCTTAAGTTTAAGTGTAATTTTTCGCTTTTCTTATGTTTACGGAAATTCATAAAGTAATTCCAAAAATTAAAAAAAAATATTCTTCTTTTTAAAAGTATAAATATTTATGAATATGTTGGATTATCCAAAATATTTATAAAAATATATAGTTTATTCAAATAAATAAATGATTGTTTAAAATTAAAAATGCTCTATTTCACTTCATATTGTTTGATACGGATATTGGTCAAGGAGAACCTTAAAAGTTGTTTTTTGGTTCAAATATGTAATTTAGTAATAATATTGGTAAAAACATAGAAAATCTAAATCAATTTATTTGTAATAGTTTTACCGAATATAATATGATTTCACCTAGGATTAGGTACATTTAAGATTTTGTAGAAGAAAATTAATCAAATCACAGTCAGTGAACATGAATATGAAAAATTATGAATATGTAGTATTGAATGGAATGCCATGAGTTGGTGATTTTGTGATGTGGATTTAGAAAAAACCTATTGAATAGTGAATCAGTTTTTACATGAAAAAAAAAATGGTTCAAAGATTCATCAATAAGTGTGAACTCCAAAGATTATTCGCTTTTAATTAAATTAATTTAATGAAGAGAAGAATAGTTGGGGTTGTCAGTAAAAAAAAAATTAATTTAAAAATGACACAACATAAAAATTTTAAAAATAAGCTATATTAAACATATGTCTATTATAGGCCATAGGTCACCAAAAAAAAAAAACACAGTTTTTTTTTTTATATATTACATGTATGTTTATTCAACGTTTCGGCTTCAGGAGCCATTTTCAAGAACCTGCAACTAAATTTTAATTTACTTTTTACCACTCAAGTATTACTTTTTAGTATAGCCTAGACAATAAACTTGTATCATTCACCTACCATGCACCACGCCATAAAATTTTTAAAAATTTTTGTCATTACGATATGACTCGTCCTAATTCATTCTTTTATTTCAAAGAATGTCGTTTTCCGTTCCTAAAAATTATAATATATAATTATAAATTAAAAATAGACTGCTATAATTAACTAAACTGTAACTGTGTTTTTTTGGTGACCTATGGCCTATAATAGACATATGTTAGATTATGAGAAAATGGCACCAAACCCGAAGGATGGGACTAGAAAAAGCTATATTAACTTTTTTTCAGTCAAATTTCGAACCTTAATGTTCATTACTTTTCATTTATTTTTTCTTACTTTCCTACAACTTCAAAGTTTTCTTTCCCATACGATATTATTCATTATACACTTTGTAACAAAGAACGAACGGTGATTTTATTGATCATAAAGAAAGCTTTACTAATAAACTAGGGTCTATTACAATTACAGAGCAATGCTCTCGAACAAACATTCTCCTAAACTCTAATTGTTGAGATGTGCAATTGAGGAAAGGAGTGGATTTTTCTTATAGGTAAACTTCGACTGTAAAAATCTGTACTAAAATAAAAAAAAAAAAGCAACGTCTACCAAGTAACGCCAGTATAGCTTCCTCACATTTTTCATTAGATAAAAAATATCTACATTTCAGGGTCTATAATTTTTTGTATAAGAAAAAACCTACGGGAAAGGCCGTTTTCGGAACGTAAGAATCAGAAAGGAAAAAATATTCATAATGTAAGTACATCATCGATTTCGGACAGAATAGAACCACACTCCTCTTACCTCATCGTAGCATGTTTAGAAATGATATATCTTCTGTAAGAATTCGTTCACCAATTTTTTTCAGCAACGAATACTAACCTAAAATGCGAGAGAGTTCCACATTTGCAAATCGCGTATTTGATGAATCGTGATTAAGAAAATTAAATCCCAGTACATACTGAAGATACGTATTGCTGCCGTTAGTGCAAAAGATCGTATGCAAACAATTTAGTGTTTTACAGGAGAGCATAAATCTAATTATTTCTTTATGATTTATTAGTGTAATTTCATATTTTATATTTCTCTCCTATTTTCCACAGTGCTATTACGAAATGTCACCTTTAGCACCAATAGAATAAAAACAGAAAATTGTTACATAGGACTTTCGCACTAATACTAGCGATATATACTTAATAAGAATGTTTTCACTAGTGAAATGGATAGAATAAAAATCCATTGGAAAAATTCAACTTTTTGTTTGTTCGGAGTTCACGGGACCAATATTTTCTCTCAGTCAGAACTAAACTAATTTAAGCTGGAATATAAAAATATGATTGAAGTTCATACTAGTTTGATGATTAAGTAGGAAACGAGCTGGTTGAACTTCAATAGAAACAAATAAAATCACAAATAAGACTTTTTTTACTAACCAAAAAAAGTAAAAGTTAATTAAAATTATGAAAATTCGAAAGCGAAGGTGTCAAGCCAGTAACGCTTGGAATCGATCAAACAATACATTATAAATTAACTTATTGAATAAAATAAAAAATTTAATAACCTCATAAAAATATTGTATAAATCTAACCGATATTCCAGGTGATGCCTTCCACATTTCACAGTCATTATATTGTTAACAGTTACTTATACTTATTTTAATTATTAAATGGAATTAAATGAAATTGGTATTAGACAAATTCGGAACTTCTTCCAAGTTTGAGTCAAATTGAACAAGCCGTTTCTGAAATATTGGCATATCTGTGAAAATACATTTACGCGTGCGCAAGCGGAAGTACTGAATGGAATTTACTAAAATTAATATGACGAACATCTAAACATTAACTCGCACAGTCTCTGAAAATTTCATGAAAATTAGATGAAAGGTAGTAGGTGATATGCCCGTCACATCGATTTGACTACAGACAGACAAACAGACAGATGCTGAACGAAATTTGATCCTTGATGTCTGAAAGTAAAACGCAAGTGGAAATTTTCAATCCTGAGCACAAAACCTCTCACAGAAACACACCTACCTTCCTAGTGAGGAAGCAAAAAAAAAAAAAAAAAAAAAAAAAAAATCAATGGATTTCTTCAAGAGAAAAATGTTCCAGTACTGCCTTTATGTATACAAATGCTTACAAAATAGGAATTACCTATTCATATTGCAAATATAATAATTTTGAATTTTATAAATATAAGACGTGTAAAAGTACCTCTTAAAAGACATTTAATAACTTACTTTATATATATACAAGGACACGAGCAGCTTTAATACTAGAGGCTACAATATTATGCTAAGTAGTTTATTTTTATTACAATTTATACATATTTTTATATAAAACAATATATACATTGAACAACAATTTTTAAAAAACTTTATTGGATTTTTGGTTTTTGTATTATATTATTTAACATACTTACTTAACAATAAGTAAAATTAAACCAATAAACAAATAAAAAAATCTGGCACGCGCAACACATAACTTTCACTTACCGCTCTTCTACTTTGAATAGAAATTATTTTTTGACAATGTTGGGCTATTATAAAATTTTTGAAGAGCATTTTAAACGGAGCTAAAGCTTAAAGCTTACAGATAAGAAATCATTAAGACCATTAAAATTACAAAAAGTCTATTTATTATATCGATGGTAGGCATTATAAATCTAGTTAATCCATCTGCTTTTATAAACCACAGAACTTCAGTCTTTGAGCCTTTCAGTTGACAGAATGACTAACTCCAATTTCAACATTTTTGAGTAATGCCACTTCAGTGATATTTCTAGATACGGTGGATTTTAAATACTTTTTTACTTTACTTAAAAAAAAATTTAAAGTTTATATTTGGTAAAAAAAATTCATTTAATTTCCTTGGAAACGTGTGATTATAATAATGTTAGTTTTCAGAAATTATTATTTATGTTTTTTTCGTCACTCTCAGTCACATTCTACAACTTTATTTATTTGACATTATTTTTTCTAAAATTCTCCCCTTTCTAACAATATATTTTATGTATACCTTCTGACTGTTATTTCTGAAGATTCAATTTCAACCTGGATAAGCATATTTCTTTTTTTCTTCAGTTTCCAATTATCATCTTCTTTCAAACATCATATTTAGCCATTTTTTATAGTTACTGTCAAGAAAAGAGAGTTCATTTATTTAAATAAACCACGTTTAGAGGAAGATGTATAGGAACATTGGGCATTTAAGCTCTGTAAAGTGACATTAATGAGGATAAGACCTAAATGGTATTAAATACCACTTAATTATACATTGATACACCAAGTTAATTCAAAAATGTTAGAGCCGTTTTTAAGAAAATTGTAAAAATGTGTTTCACCGTTAATATAAAATGGCACTTCTGGTTAGCCAATTTTAAGGAAAAAGTTTCTGTAACATCTGAGTCATATACTCAGATATTAAATACATAACATCAGTTTCGTACGAATTTTCTTTTTTAAGCTACACACACACACACACACACACAAACACACACATACAGACCATTTTGTTGGGCTTGGTTTTTTGGACTCAGGAGGAGACCTCAAAATATGTATTGCCGTTGAAAACTCAGATTCAAAAATTTTCACGATCGCAATACTTACCCTTACTATATATTTCATATATAGGTAAGTGAAAGTAAAAATCACATAATTATTTCACACAATTTGACTAATGAAACCAACTTAATATAGACACAGCTTATTAAACGAGGAAGTTTTACTAAAATTTGGGTGTCTGCAGTATAGTTTGATGATGATTAAAAAAAATCGTGAATAATTTATGCTTTTTTTTAAAAACAGTACTGTTCACATACACACAGGCCATTTTGAGGGACTTGGTTATTTGGACTCAGGGGGACCTCAAAATGTGTATTTCCGTTCAAAACTCAGATTTGAAAATATTCACGATCACAATACTTTCCCTTTCTATATGTTACATATAGAGGTAAGTGAAAGTAAAAATAAATAAATCAAGCTCTATTAAACAATGAAATACTTTCTCATAAATTCTTATATGTTACAACAAATGCAAGGAAAATTAATTAAAATTAGTAGGATATTGATTAAAATTAATTAAATATTAATCATTATTACTCTACAAAGATTAATATTAAATTCATTTCAATCTATATCCAGTTGTTTTTTTAAAATAAAATTTCTTGTATTAGTTAGAACATTTAAAAATTTGTGAGAAAGTAGTTCAGTTTTAGTTTAATAATGTAATTCCTATTTATCAGCTATGTGAAAAAAATATAATTATTATATTAATTTTTTTCTTATTTGGCATTATGTACTTTCCCAATTATTTAATACTATAATTTTTTTTGCAGGGCCGAAGGTTACCGATATCTATCCTTCATTTTTATTAAAGTTCCATCACATGGCATTTGTTGTTATCAGTTATTTGTTGATAGTACGCTATGGACCAAAACTAATGAGTGGAAGGAGACCTTACAGTTTGAAGGGAATAATTATGGTTTATAACTTGGTACAAGTAGCTATTAACGGCTATATAGTTTATTTGGTAAGCACATATTATCAATCTCCAGAGTATTTTTCAAATTATTTTATAATACTGATTATGTTCAATATTGCACTTTCAGACTTGTACCCGATGGGGGATCAGAATTTTAGGAGTGTGGAAACATATTTGCGAACCAATAGGGGGAACTGCTGGGTACAGTGAATCAGATGAATTAGTGGTAAGTATAACATTTTCCTAATACTGCTGACTAAAAATCATAACCTACAATTTATTTTGATTGCTTGACACTGGCTGTTTTTAATAACAGATTAGGCATAGCTGCCAGCATTGGATATATTGAGGACAGGGCAAATGTTAATGTAACATGGTAACAGTGTTCAATACATGGGTGGAGAAGGGGGGATAGAACACGATGAATGAAGGCGTACCACAGTAATTAGTTTATTATCTGTATCATTATATAACATGTCTTTATATATTATTTCTCAAAGATGTTTTTTTGTCTCTACACTATATCTTCATCAAATCCAGTGATTGAGTCTTCATTTTGAAGACCTCCTTTTCCTTCAGGTGGGAAAAATAGTCACATCTTGAAATTTCAGGAAAAAAAGTTATGAAGGAAAAGAAATTTTATTTGCGAACAACTCAAAAAATACATTTTTTGGCCAATTATACCCGTGATTAATTGAAAGATTACTAAATCTGCTAAAAAAAATAAAAATAAAAAATAAAATAAAACAATAAGTCCCGACTGTAGAAGTAAAGTGGGTTAAAATATTTTTTTTTAGGAAAAAACAGTTGAGATTTGTATTTCATGAATTTGTACAAAACAAAAAAATCATCGAAATTGGATAACTTTTAGCAAAGATGTAGCCTATTGTATGAGCACATGTTTTTGTTTATTATTATGAATGCAATAATGTGTTTACATTGAGAAAAAGAAAATTATTTCATCCATCTCATGAAAAATTGCACTAACTTATCTATATTAGTCTATATTAGACCCAAAAACAGTCAGATACCCGCTAATCTTTTATGTAAAATTACATATTATTCATAATAATGTATTTACATATAGCTCATAACTTTTTTTTTTTTTTATTTCTTAATGACATTTACAACTTTATTACGTAAATACATCAACTAAATTTGGACATAATAGATATAATGACATGAATACACTTGCTGAGTAACTACCCAATGGTAGCACTCTAATGATATGATTACATTAGGAGATCACGGGGCCATCTTCTTTTCAGAAATGAGGATTATCAGGAATTGAAGAGGAAGCAAGGTTAGAAACGAGAGGGTTGGGATGACTCTGAAGTTTATTATGGAAGGATAGGTATCTGGATTGGGCCAGATCTGAAACACATGGAACATTAAGATCTTTATGGATAATTTTATTAGTGACAAAGTAAGGAGCATTGAGGATTTTATGAAGGATTTTGGATTGTAAGGATTGGATCCGAGAGGAATTCGATGGTTTAGTGGAGCCCCATAGCTCAACTCCGTAAGTCCAAATAGGTCTTATTATAGTCAAGTATATGAGTCTTTTGTAATTAATGGGAAGTTTAGAGCGTTTGTCTAGTAAGTGCTGAAGTAATCGGAAACGTTGAGCGGTTTCTTGTCGTTTCAGTCTAGTATGAGGATTCCAAGTTAGTCGTTTGTCCAGGTGGAGTCCTAGGTATCGGATTTGCTCAACAGGGATAAGTGGAGTATTGTTAAAGGAAACTGTAGGACAGGAAGTCGTTGGTTTACCACGAAAGCTCATAACTGAAATACTTATTAGCAGATTCAACTTTTTTTTTCTAAAAGTATATATTTATATTTTACAATTGTACAGTTTTAAGTGTCTTGGCAAGGTTTCAAGAGTTTTGTATATAGATTTTTTTTTTATTTAATTTTGTATACAGTATGTAAAACTAATATTTTCTTTACTGATTTAGCTTTACTTTTACTTTGTATGTTTGTTTTTATTTGGCCAGATACAACATTTTAATTTTGTAATTTTTTGTTATTCTGAAGGGACTTCGTCCCAGAATAAAATTATTTTCTATTCTATTCTATTCTATATTATATTGTCCATTGTTCATTAAGTAATATACTATGCTAATTATTTGCATGGGCCAACTAGTAATTTATTATATCTCTAAGCTGTTTTTTTTGTCGAACAACCTACCATTTTGAAGATTATTTTCTCCTTCGGGTGAGAAAAAAAAGTCCAGCCCCAAGAAAAATCAGAAGATTATGAAGAAAAAGAATATGTTACTTATGCATATCTCAAAAGGTATACCATTAACGGTGTTATTAGTTTATAGAGTTTAATAGGTTTCTGACATCTCTACAAAATGAAAAAAAAAATCCAAATTGGACCATTTTCAGCGAAGATACAGACACTTCTATTTTGTACACATGTTTTCATTAATTATTTTAAATGAATCATTGTAATTATCCAAAGATAAAAAATTAATTCCTCCCTCTAAATCTGTTACATTTACTTATTTCCATACTATATAGCCACTTGCCACTATAACATCATCATCATCATCTGTTATTCCATGCAGAACCTTGGCCTCCTCTACTATTCACCAAACTGACCTGCTGCTCTTCATCTAACTACAACCAAGCTCCCTAAAAGGATGATGTAGGGACACCTGAGTGAAAGTAGGAAAATAGGCAGGCCTAGACTTCATTGGCTGGAAGATGATAATCATTATCTATACGGTTTATTTCTGAGTTATTTTAAGTAAATGAATGAGAAATATTGGAGGGACTGGCCCTCTTCCATAAAATATTGAGAGTAGGTAGAAAGCTTCTTGACTCCATTGCTCTCCCCCTGTGTTGGTGGCTATGGTTTAGGGCTATCATAAAAACAATCTATTTTATTAAGTTCAATGATTCTTGCATCTAATGTTTAAATATATATATATATATATATATGTATAAAACTTTATCTTGTGAATCGTAATGATTTTGCATTCTTTAATCCTAACATAATATATTTATTTTTCAGTTTGTGAAAATTATCTACATATATTATCTAACAAAACTCCTGGACTTATTGGACACAGTACGTTTATTTTATTATATTTAATTCCTATTACTTATGACGATGATATTATTAAACTGTTTTATGTATTTAAAGGTATTTTTCATTTTACGGAAGAAGCAATCACAAATAACATTTCTACATTTGTTCCACCATTCATCAATGGTGGTTAATATGTGGCTATCTATGGATCTAATAAGAGGTAGAACTATTTAATAATTTACATCTTCATATTAATTTTCTTAAACGTCACTGCCAATTAATCACATTTATTAGTTAAAAAATTATGAAGTAAATAGGAAAATAAAATAATTAAATAATGAAATAAAGTGAGGAATTACTTCTGAAAACTTATGATAAAGAAAACAAAACTATTCATTTTGTGATGAATAAAAATTTGAGAATATAAAATTTAGGTTTAGAAATCTGCTGTTTTTGATTTTATATCTCTTTTATATTTTACTTCTTACCAATGTTTTTCTGTTTTTAACTTTTCCAAAAAATGTGTATACCTAACACTTATAGGAGAAAGACTGAATTTAAATGGAAACTGGAGGGAACTTATTCAATATGTTACGGCAAGGTACATTTCACTATAAGATTTGGATAGTTCGTTAAAGATTAAAATTACCTTTTAGAAAAAAGGTGATAGTTGAGAAATCAATAGTTACATGGATAATGTTTGTTAATTGTTGGACACTCTTAAAGAACTAACTCATCTGTTACATGATCAATCTCATCTAATAAGCTTCTTTACTTGGCAATGTTATGACAATATTACCCAGCCAAATAATTTTTCTCTCTTGAGAGAATTTAACTAGAAGAAGTTGACAATTCATGACTTCTAATATATATATATTTTTTTTCTGTCGGGATTACAGACCAGGTAGATCTTTTACTGCCTTACCAAGCCTGCTTCATCTCTGTCTGTCTTGGACTCTTATCTGCACGCAGCTCTATTGCATCTTTGTTGATTAATAACTTGCAATATATGATAAAAATTCCATTGTCTTAAGATAGTTATCACATTGTACTGATAGATACGTACAGACTCTTTGTCTATTTTTTGAAGGACTGCACAATAATGAGTGGTGATTATTTATGATAATTACTTCTGAGACAAGTTAAAATAATATTATTATTTAAAATATAAAACCTGATAAAATTTTCTCACCCTGATAAAATTTAATTTCAATTTTTTTTTTTTTCAGAACAAATCATTTCAGTTTTTGGATTAATTAATGTAATAGTACATGCAGTGATGTACACCTACTACTTACTTGCTGTATTGGGTCCCAGTGTAAGGAAATATCTTTGGTGGAAAAATTATATTACAAAAATGCAGATGGTTAGTAAGAATCAGATACAACAAAGTATGAAAGACTTTAGTTACACAATTTATTCCCTTGGAAGAAAATATCAATGGACTCGAAAATAAAATATGTGAATTCATGATTTTGAGACAATTATACTAAACAATGACAACTCAAATAAGATTGTTTATTTCAATTTTAAGAAAATATTTCACTACGAGTTATTCTTAAATTCCACAGTAATATTTATATTTTACATTTACAAACCAAGTAATTAATATTAATAAACATAATATTGATCACAATAGTTGGTAATCTTAGTAATATTTGAAATAAAATATGAATTGACAGAATAAATAATATAGGAAAATTACATCCTATGGAAATAGGGTACATGTATAATATGGTAATATAGGGTTGACAAATAAGTCCTTTCGGTTTTCCTGTTTATTTTTATGTCATTATGATACACTTCTTATATGATGAATTAATCCCTAAGATGAATTGTTTATCCTGTCTGTAATATGTCAACAACTATGTCTGTTAACTCTTGTTGAAACTAGCTTAATATTGTGTTTGCAATTACATTGTGAATATGGAAGAAAATATGATTCATTAATGGTATATTTTGTTGTATTATTTTGGAAAAGGTAAGTGTGCTGCAGAAGTTCATGGAAAAATTTACAGTGTCTATGGGGATGATGCCTTAATCAAACGTACCTGTCAAAATTGGTTTGCTAAATTTCATTCAGGAAATTTTGACATCAATGATGCATAATGGTCTGGTCGACCACATGAAATTGAAACGAGCAATGTTAAGGCCATTATTGATCAAAATCCAACCCAATCAGAGCAAGAGATTGCTATTGCCCTAAATATGTAGCGCACAAGTGTAGAAAACCGTTTGCACAAGCTCGGCTATGTTTTCAGGCTTTATGTGAGTCCCTCACATGATTTTTTTCAAAAATCACAAAAAAATTTAGTGCTTCAATATGACTTTAGCTATCTACAAGAAATTTAGGAGGAATTTAGGGCCAAATAAACTACACAAAATTACATCAACAAGACCTTCGTAAACAAACTACAAATGGTTTGTTTATTGATTCATTATGTAGGTATTAAATGAAAAAAACCATTTATACGGCTTTGAACAGCAATAATTCAGCAATCCAACGGATATAGAAACATCGAATTTGGAGAACATTCTGAAGAGTTATGAATGATCGGAAGGGTGTTGTGTTCCACCAAGACAACGCAAGGCCCCACACCTCATTGGTCACTCCCAATAAATTATTGAGCCTTGGATGAGACCTTTTACCCCACCCTCCCTATTCACCAGACCTAGCCACATATGACTACCACTTATTCCGGTTTCTGCAAAACTCCATGAATGGAACGAAATTCCAAAATGAAGAGGACTTCAAAAACCACTTGGATCAGTTTTTTAACAATAAACTCCAGACATTCTTTGAACGTGGCATTATGCTGTTAGTGAAAAGATTTGAAAAAGTCATATTAAATAATGGTCAATATATTGTAGATTAAATTAAAGTTTATGTCTAGTACATTGAGTTTTATTTCACTCTGAAAAACCGAAAGGACTTATTTGCCAACCCACTTCTAATCCATAGCCAAACAGAAAGTGATATGTTATATTGAATATTTTATGTGTGGTTAAAGCTTTTGCTTATTTTTGAAAACCGAAATTGGCAAGGAGTTGGAACATATATTAATTGTATTCAAAATGAATATATCTGCATACTTCATTATATATTTTAACCAATACTTGTTATTTGAGACAACATATTAGCTTGTTCATTTTTTAATTTTTATTTATGTAATCATGAATATTGTTTCAATATAATATTTTTTTCTTTACTAGAATGTTTCAGATGTCTCAGGCCATCATCAAGTGCTTTTTTTTTTTGAGCTATAACTATTTCATTTATTTGTCTTTTTCTGTATTTTTGAAGGTTTAAGCTAAAAATACAAAAAAAAAAAAAAAAAAAAAAAAAAAAAAAAAAAAAAAATACATCAGAAATACTAGATATATACAGAAATAAATAAACAAGCCAATTTAAAAAGACCTAATTTATTTTTAACCCTGTTGTGTTATGCATACTTCTTTATTTGGCTTTTCAATTTTAATATTCACTTTAAGTTAATTTATTTGTACTATTTATTTTATGTTTTTTTGGCATCCTATTATCTCTATACTACATATGTGTACCTTCCACCTTTTCATCTTGGCTTGTTTATTTATTTATGTATACACCTTATGTTTTTGATGTATTTTTCTAATTGTTAGCCCTATTGTTGAACTATATGGTTGGGTCAAATCGTAGACAAGTCCAATAAAACATATTCAGACTGTAAATGCTGACCATTTAACTTTGTCATATTATAAAATTGTTTAGTAATTTTATGAATTTTATTTTCAGGCACAATTTGTTATAATTCTATCACTTCTGGCAAAAATGAGGATTTATAATTGCAAGAGTAAAGTCTTGTTCTGGCCTCTTTGGAGTTTCACGGTTGCAATATACTTTATTCTTTTCATAAATTTTTACATAAATACCTACAAGAAATCAAACAAGAATGTAAACCAAAAAATTAAAATTTAAGTGATTATTTCTGACAAGTTCATTTTAATACTAACAAACAGTATTAAATAGGTTTCAATTTATATTTAATTATTTATACTGGTATGTAGAAGTTTATTAAAAATTAATAAACCTTCTTCTGTTTGTCTTAGTATAAGTAACTTTGACTATGAGTTCAAATATGTAAATATTATTATTGGACTTAATACATTTTTTATGAATTTTTTTTTATTGTTATATCAAACCCCCCCTTTTTTTCTCTATTGACGTTTTAGTTTACTTATAAGACAGATAACTAACGTATGATAAATTAAAAATATACTGTACCTATTTTATGATATATAAATTTGATTGGTTTTTTTTTTTTGTTTGAAATTTATTAGAAATGTATTTAAAAACATCTAATTCTGCAATTTCTAAATCCTTTGTCATGTCCCTGCTTTTGGGTACTCAACTTCATCGTTACCTGCTAGTCTTATTTCTGGTCCAGTAGAAAAATTGGTTGCTTGGTTATTTTTAGTTTGACATTTTCTAGTTCATTGTTTAAGAGTTCTGAATTTAAATCCACAAAATCTTACCAGAGCTTCTGCATTTCTTGCCAGTCTTCAAGTGTGTATCTCAGTCGTTTGTCAATACTAAAAGTTGCCAGCAAGAAGGTATGTGCAAGTGATAATTAATTATCTAAGAGTTATCGTCAGTCAGAACCTCAATGTTTCCAGAAAATACTTACAGCCTAGAGAAAGGTAACACATGGTAATGTATCACTCAATTTTCTCAGTTCTCTTCTTGCATTAAGATGCTAGGTAATTAAAAAAAAAATAATAAAGTAAATAAAAATTGTAACATATTTAAAAATAAATTATATTTTTTATTGTTTTTATTGACTATCAAAGGATTAAAAAAATAGCAGTAAAATTGAAAATATTTTATTTCAGTCTTATTTTATCTCTTTATTTTTTTATCAAAGCTGAATTCGATTGTGCCCATACTTGCAGCTATCTGCCACATCAAATATTTATTAAAAAACGGTCAGGTATCTAGAGTAAAATTTTTTTTAGAGAGAAACAAAGTTGATATTCGTTTTTCGCACCTCAAAAAAACTTATATACGAATTTTATAGTAGTAGAAAAATAAAAAATTTCTGCATGAAATTTTTGTCTGGATCCTTGAAAATTTCGTCAACACCACAACATTCGTGATAACTTTATAACGGATTCATTAGTTGACACATAAATGAATAGAGATTTAGGCCTCTGTGAGCTATAGGAAATGATATAAACCCGATCTTTGTAAACAAATTAAAAATAGAGATATAAAATTAAAGAGGGTTAGAAGTTTTTCTTAATTTCTAGCTTGCAAAAAAAAAAAAAAAAAAAAAAAAAAAAAAAAAAAAAAAAAAAAAAAAAAAAAAAAAAAAAAAAAAAAAAAAAAAAAAAAAAAAAAAATCCAAAAGTTATTGGGGCTGGTTGGAAGATCAATAATTCAGCTTTTCAAGTTACAATAAAGTTGAATTAGAAGAAAATTCTGTGGAGTTATGAATGCTTTACTTGACGGCCGGAAAAAACTCATCCAAGAAAATCAAGTAATAAAGGTTATATTTTTTTATTTATATGAAAATTCACCATACTAAAACTCATCAGATTTTCTGAATTTCAAAAAAAATTTCGACCAAAATTTTGATGTTAGTTTTACTATGTCTGCACAGTGAAAATTTATCACGGATAAAAATTATTCTAATTGGTTCTTTAATAGCTCTTTAGCGAGCACAATCGATAATTATTGGTATATTTTAATGTAGGATGCGAAACGAAAAAGTTTTCGAGCATGAAATTATCGAAAATATTTTATTGCGAATTGCGAGGCTTATATCCTTTGTTTGGTGAACATTAGGGCAAAGGTTCATCATATACATCTTATAAATCTTAGGGGGGCCATACTAAAACTCATCAGATTTCCTGAATTTCAAAAAAAAATTCGATGTTAGTTTTACTATGTCCGAACGGTAAAAATTTATCACGGAAAAAAAATATTTTGATTGCTGTTTTATTAGCTCCATTTTTAATCCAGTATGCGAAATGAAAAAAAATTCAAGCATCAAAATATAAAAAATATTTTTTTCCAATTTGCGAGGCTTATATCTTTTGTTTGGTCAACATAAGGGCAAATGTAAATTATATTAATTTCTATAACTGTTAGGGGGGAGCATAGGAAAACTCACCAGTACTCCTGAATTTAAAAAAAAATTTCGACCAATATATTGCTGTTACATTTACTAAGTCCGATCAGTGAAAATTCATCACGGAAAAAAATTATTCTAATTGGTGCTTTAATAGCTCTTTGGCGAGCACAATCGATAATTATTGGTATATCTTAATGTAGGAATCAAAACGAAAAAGTTTTCGAGCATGAAATTATCGAAAATATTTTATTGCGAATTGCGCGGCTTATATCGTTTGTTTAGTGAACATTAGGGCAAAGGTTCATCATATACATTTTATAACTCTTAGGGGGGCAATACTAAAACTCATTAGATTTCCTGAATTTCAAAAATAATTTAGACCAAAATTTTGATGTTACTTTTACTATGTCTGATCAGAGTTTTAAAGGACCTTAAAAAGAAATCTAATTTGCTTTTTCATAAGAAAAATTTACTTGGTCTACTTTACTGGAAGAGCCTTTTGGATATTGTAATTTATGATACATTACAACTCATTTAATACAATAGTTGATACCTTTTTCTTATTCTGCATAAAAAAAAAAAAAAGATTGGTATAATCTGAAAATCCGGGAAAAGCAAAAATGAAAAATAATTTTTTTGTGAAATTATATAAATTTTTTTTATCGAGTCCTGAGGCTCATTGGAATGAACGTCGGTACATGTGTCTAATATGTTTTGATGTAGTATCACCGAAAAAAAATTGGTTGAAATCGGTGATCCACAGACAGAATCCTCTCCATGTAAGTGCATTTTCGAAAGTTAATCTTTATAAAAAATGCACTTAGTGACTTTTTGGAACAAACTGACTATTGGTTCGTGAATTACCTTTATTTTCTTAGTAAATGTTATATATTTTTTTTAAAACATTACGGCTAAAAATCTGATTCCTAGAGCATTAAGAATTTTCAATCAACATCTTATTATTACATCGAAAACTAGTGTTGTTGTTTAAAATTTTGCTATTCGCAAGGCAGGAGCTAAGATCAATTCAATTGCACATGTGACCAAATTAGATACTCTGTTGGGACTATTGCAAAGAAGAAATCTACCAATTAAATAGAAAAAAAAAAAAGATCGTGAAACAATCCTTATATAACTGAAGAACTTTCTCAATGACAGTAATGAAACAAAATAAAAACAAGGGAGGATACAAAACTGTGTATAGATATACACCGGGGGAGACTGGAGCCTTACTGGCAATATAAATTTATTGCAGCTTTCAGAGAGACAGTTTTATGAGGTCAGAAGAGCTAGGCCTGGTTATAATTTCTCATTGGCCTCATCTAGAGCCTCCTACACTCCCCTGGTCTCAAATCCTCTTTTCAATGGCTATCTTAAACTTTCTGGTCTGTTCTCTGCCGTGTTTTATAACAGAATTCATGAAAGAATTATCCGACATATAATTTTAATACTAAACTATTTTATTTCAGATAACTATAAAAGAGGGAAATATTTGAGTTAAATCTATCTATACTATATATATATCTGTGCTCTGGAGATAAAGGATACTATATCCATTTTTTTATTAAATAATTTAAAAAACAAATAAACAAATTTTAATAAATTAAAGTTATGAAAAAAAATGTGACATGGTGTCCTTTTGCTCTGGGATAGAGATTTATTAACTAAGAAACAAATTTAATAGCTTAAGTCATGGAAAATCGGCTTCCCTCAAAAAAAAAATCTGATGTGTCCACTCACACGACTTTCCTACATATTTCAGAAAAGTTTTTATATCTTTACCTATGTCCATTAATAAATAAAAAAATTGAATTACATTAACTTTCCTGAAAATATATATGAAGGAAATAGTGAAGCTTATGAACAGATTTTCTTACTTTCACTTAGTTATATTTTTTCTCTCACGTTCACCCCTTTTTGACAGCAGGATATGAACCCGTAATGTTACATTGGAAATTAAATAGCTGTAACTTCGTTAATAGTTATCCAAAATGAACGATTTTTATATAGTTACATAGGGAATTTTATTACCTTTAAAAAAACACAGAGCTCTGAAACGTATAGATCCATCGAAAACCGCATATCGGAAATTTGACCCGGTCGCAATACTTTCCTTACCTATAATAGGTAGAAAAGTAATAAATTAAAACATGTGTAGAAAATAGAATATGTTGTATCATATCTAATACTGGTTCGATTCCGATGATTTTTTTTGTTTTGTTGGTAATTTAATTACCTTTAAAAAGTTTTATTATAAATTTTACCATAGAATATATACTTAGCGAGTTAGACCCCAAAACATTTTTCTTTTCTTTATAACTTTTTTTCATGAATTTTCTCGGGAATTTAGTACATGTATAAAAAATGAAAGGACAATTATTAGAACTTTAAAGGAAAGTTTCATCAAAATTGTTAGAGCCATTTTTGCGCCACAATCTATAGAAAAAAATGTTTTTTATTTATTTCGCAGTCGCACATGGAGCACCATCGGGTACAAATCGTTGTGCCAGTCATCAGTGGTCAAAACCCTACAAAATAAAAAAATAAGCCACAAAATTGGTACACTAGTTCCCGAGAAAATAATGGCACAGACAGATAGACCAACGGCTAAAAATGTATTTTTCGGACTAACGGAGCTCTGAAATGTATAGATCCGTCGGAAACCGCATATAGAAAATTTGACCCGATGGCAATACTTTCATTACCTAGTATAGGTAGGAAAGTTAAAATGGACATGGTGGTCTTTACCTCCGAGTTACATGTATAATACGGTAATATTGGGTTGGCAATTAAGTCCTTTCGGTTTTTATGTTTAATTTTATGTCACTATGATACACTTCTTATCTAATGAATTAAT